TAAAACATGACAACAAAACAATTTTGAATAGAAAAGATACTTTGATAAAATACATTGTATTTTATATATTTTACTTATACTTTAATATATGCAATATATACTCGTTTGCTAACTCGTAAAGACACAAACCATGTATATATAATATACGAACTAAGTCAATCTTCAAAGAGAAGAAAAGATCAAGTAAGTCAAATTAGTTTTATAAAACATTACTATTGTTTTGGCAATTAACACCTACTGTTTCACTTAAAAACTTTGAACCAAGGACTTAGAATTACCGAGGACTCATTCTTACCGTCAACAACAACGAGATTTAGTTAAAAGGAATCTCTTTACCTGCTCATTACTCTTTTTAAGCTACTTGATGACTTCAAACTTAGCAACTACACTTAGACTACAATGCCCCCCCTTAGAAAGTACCATAAGCGGATCTCTATATTATATATATATATATTAGACTTTACACCTTGTAAGAAGATTTACAGCAATTTGTATGTTCATTGTACAATCCTAACATTATACGATCTAATTTCAGTTTAACATATAATATGAAAGTAATTTATGTACTCCTTTATCTCATAGTTTAGTATTTGTGTTTATCCTAGTTTATGATTTTGCATTGAGATTCAACATATCGTGTATTTCATCATCCTCAAAATTCAAGTAATACTAGTCCAAAATTTTTTTGGATTAGAACTAATATTAGACATCAAATTAAAGTTTACAGTGTTCGTAGAATAATTTAATTAATACTTCATACGAAAAACAACAGTTATGTATATTAGTATCACAATTCCACTACTTCAAGTTTTAATGTTCTCATAAAAAAATATATATCATAATCGAAAGCTCACAGTGTCCAAAACTGCACAATCACGTAATATGTTTGTGTATATATGTGTCTGTGTGTGGCATATTTCTACATTTAGATGACTAAGGGACCACCAAAAAATGGAAATATGACCTTTATGTCTATTCCAGTTAGCATATATGCAAGGGGTGGTGTGTGTACCCTCGTAAGGGGTACATGGGTTCTTAATGAAGCCTCTACATATCCCTTTAACATCCCACAAAATTAAATATAAATATTGGTATGACAGTGTAAGAGAATGAGATATATATATATATATATATATGTATGGCCTCTCCTTTGGTCTCCCTTCTTCCCTTCTATTAGACATGGCATCGCTATCACGAAGTAGATAAGAAATTGATATTTGTGCTGACGCTTGTTGAAAAGCAGGCATGACTTTATTCTAATGTAGAAAACAGATTCATTGCCAAAATGGGCAAAAGCATCTTCCAATAGAAATCTCTAGTTGGGATTTCAGACCCATCATTTATATATTTCCATATCCTTTACTTAAATTTTTTTTTTTTTTTTTTAATTTGCATGGCCTTTGCTCTATAAACTATCATTAATGATGGGGACCATTCAAATATGCCGGGCAGATCTTCAGAATTTTAAAATTCTAATTTAACATATTAATTAAAAATAGCTGTGGCAAGAATATTACAAGATAATGAATGGTTCCATTTTGCCAAATCCAAGAAATGAAATGAAGTCCGTCTTAATTTTATTAATTATTTTTAGCTATATATATATATATATATATATATATGCCACAACCTATGACAGAATTAAATCCGGCCAATTTGCCAATTGATCTCAATTACCATTCTTCTTTCCTCTTAAACAATGCTAATACTTTGTCCAAGGGATGGAAGCCAGTTAAAATTAATCCAGCAGTTTCAAAAACTTGATTCGACACAAAATGCTTTACAGGAATATCATGTATCTCCCACTGCCAGAACCCCGGCAGCAAGTAACAAGAAAGCTTCATCACCATGCAGAGTACATCTTCTTTTAACATTCCAAATCCTGCCAAAAGTTTGATGAATTACACATCATATTGTTGTGACTTGAGCACCATACAATCCTTTACCTTTTGGTGTACCGCAAAATGAAATAACATGTGTGTTAAAATCTGTAGAGTTCACTAATATTTTCTATTAATTGAATATATAGAAGAAATGTGTGTGATCATGCAAACATCATTAGAGCCTACATATATATTGACTTATAAGTTGAAGCAACGCTTTAGCCCAAGCCTACCTGGTCTCTGGTGCAACTAAATTCAGTTTCTCTGAGTTTTGCTGGAGAATCACTCGACATCGGGCCCACCTAAAATATAGAGCCTCGAAAAGACACCCTTTCAAAGAAAATAAATTTTCAAGTCCAATTGTAACTTATAAGCAGTCAAGTGAAGAGAGTATGAGTCATCATCAAGACTTAATCATAGTATATTTAGCAAAGGAATAACAATATCCCAACAAGACACCGTAACTCCTGACTCAATAAAATGGTTAAAAGTGGTAAAATTAATTGGTAACTCATTTTTTCCGCACAAAAACTGGGATTAATTCTGCTTATAGCAAGAAATGAGAGCTAAAAGAATATAAGAACCGAGCCAAACTTACCAACTTGAAACTACAGAAGTCCTCACAACCATATATTCTTTTTAGTCATCAGCAGGCTACAAAATACATATTCATCTACTCCTGGCCCCTTCCCAAATTTTCAATATGGTGTAATTTATATTGTAAAGCCAGAGGTATAGAAAAATGAAAATCAAGTAACTAGAAGACTTGGAAGATCAATTCAGTATAGCAGCAGGCACTTGCAGAATCATAGTTATGTGCAAGAACTGTAGAAACTCTATGGCGACTTTAGTCCATCATTTTAGCATTCAGACCACCACATTGCATCACAAGATCTCAGCTATCTGCAACATTAACACATGCAAAGATAATCTCATGAGAAAGATAGGTAGCTTTACCTCCATCAGTGTTTACCCTGACACCAACAGTAACCTCTTCAAGATTTCCGTCAATGATAATGATCATTTCACATATTCATCTCGTACTAAAACTCTTCAAGGGGTACCCTCTAGAAGCTTAAAATATATACGCGTACATGTGTGTGTGTTGTCTAGGTGGATGGATAAATAGAAAAATTTATACTGAAAATGAAGACTATAACATCCCAGCACAAAAATTCTTGAAAAAGTGGGGCAAAAAGCATACAATCAGATTAGCTGCTGTCATCTGTGCTACTCACAATCCACTTTTTTTTCCCTCCTATAACAAGAATAAAATTAGTTACCTTAAAGGTTGAATATGTCGAAGATTTCTAAGAATTGCTGTTTCACCTCTTTTCGCTCTCAAAGTGGTCATGATACCACTTTGTTTTTGGTCATTGAAACTCATGTACATTAATAGCTACCTCCTCTCTTCTCATTGATCTTGATTACTTCCAGCTCGTGATAAGTTAAATACTTAAATCCATTCTATTCTAGCGCAATACATTGAGCCTTAAGAAATGTACTTCTTAAGTGTTATGAAACCTTAGTACTTTTCAGATATATAAAAAGGGGAAGACCGAACATAAAGCAAGAAAAAGCTTACATTTATAGGCATCTCAGCTATGATGATGCTGCTAGTTTCTTCAATACTCTTGAGAGTCACCACTTCGCCCCCAACAACCATATTTATGACAATTCCATCTACAAATATCAAATGATGTCAATTCACAAGAATGAAAAACTGTACCATACTGCCCTAGTATATTAAGAAATTAAAGGAAGAACCTGACGCCAAACATGCTGCCATGCGTCTCAAGTATGTTTCCTGTAATCAAGCATTAATACAAATGTGAACAGCAAAACTGGAGATCATTAATACATTACAATAAATAATGAGCAAAAAATGTATAGGGATGCACATTAAACGAAACTCATACTATTATGCTGTATCGGGCCCAAGGCAACTTATAGCTGAGATCTAAAAACACAAGATGAGCCAGACGAAAATACCAAAAGTTCTCTAGGAGTTATAGCTTTGATGAGTGGAAATGGAAAACAAGAATATTGAACTGAAATTAAGGTTTCCCTTCCTATTGATACATTAAATCACATATTTAATCATAAATTTACGCACATAAGCACTATTGATCTCCATATCAAATGGGTAAACTGAAATAGACTGCTCTATGGTTTATCTAACACAAATTAAGCCATCTAGTCCTTAATGAGAAGTCAATCCCAATAAAAGTACTTATCAAATTAGTTAATTTAATTCAGAGACTAAATACCGCTGCAGAAGTGGTGAATTGCAATCACAAGCTTCAAATGTTGCAAGACAGTCAGGTACCAGCAATGAAAGGAAACACAGAAACAATCTCCTTTCGCAAATAAATTATGACAGGGTCACAGGGTCAGAATGATCATGCAAAGAAACGAAGGGGACTGCACCTTTTTTGTCGGTAACTCATAGTTTATGAGAATACGAGCAGAAATTGGAGATTCTCCTGAAGAAAGCAGTGGAAGACAAGCATCTGTTACAACAATCATATGAGATTTCTGCTCATCTTTGTCAATTTCCTTTTTATCCCCTGCCTGAACAGTGTCCTTCTGATTTTGGCTCCAGCTTATAGTTGCTTGTCGAAACTTTTCTAAAACTAGTGTTCTTTCTGCTTCAGCCAGATCACTATACTGTCATGGAGATTCATCGTAAATCAGCAAATATTTGCGAAGGTAGAGAAAAAAAAAACATGAAAGTCAACATTGGTAAAAGAAGCATGTTAGTTCCCAGCATCTTTCACAATTACAAGGCATCTGAAACAACAAGTACAATGTGATGAGGCAAAACAGAATGCCGAAACAGAGAATAAAATGGTGAGGAAATGGGTAATCATTATGGTTGCATAAACCAAATGGTGAAACCAGCAAACCAAATTACACATACACACAAACTCATCAAACGAAAACTTTGCAAAAGCAGGAATGAATTCAGCCTTGACAAACCAAAGATTTGGGAAAACAAGAAGTCAAAGTGCTGGCTTCTTTTCATATGTGAATAGAGCATAAAATCAAATTTCCTGACAGGAGACCTTTAGTAGTAATGTAAACCAAGAAAGTAATTTCTATGTCGGTCCTCTCTGCATTGTCAAAAAAGGACTAAAACAATGCCTCTAAAGATTCTCATTCCATGGCATATCAACGAACAATTGTAAGCTTTAGTCAGAAATCAAAAACTGAAAAGAGTCCGTCAATCACTTGCATTGTTTTCCTTAATCCTAACAACACAAAAGCTTTAATAGTGTTACCGCACAAAGACGTTGTAACGCTAAAAATAGTGTCTCCACACTCATTTGAATTTCGAGTAGTTAATATATCTAGCATAGCAATGTGCTTTGTCAGGGCAGATTAAAAAAATAAATAAAATACCAGGGCGGCTAACGAAATGTAAGTCAAGTTAGAGAGAGCAGAACAGACGCCGTCGAGCTCGTCGCGAGAACTGCAGCATACCACCAATGGGAAGCCATTGGTGCCTCCCCGC